ATGCCATATTTCCATACAGTTTTTCAAATGGCTATAGACCTTATATGCTTGTAAGTTAAGCACCCCTTTTAGTAATGAAAAGGAGAGAACAGGGAACTTAATGTTGCCAAGCAAAAGTAGGGTTGTTGCACAACGTCTGATCATTTTCAGGATCTGGTAACAGGAGATGAGGTCTCAGCTGATCAGAGTGAAGAGGAAACTCATTCCACCATTGAGCATTTTGGCACATGTAGATTTTTTTGCAACACCAGTGGATGCCACTGGGCAGCACAGAACAAAGTAATTTTGACACCAGGAAAATTACCCAGCTGAAGCCAAAGCAGTGAGCAAAATGAATGAAATGAAAAAGAATAATCTTTAAGAGTAGGGATTTAAAGAGTTCCTCTGCTCTGTTCTTCCAGATTGTAACAAGCCTTCTAGGAGTAACAGTTTACAACTAACCTGCAGCAGTGATTCAAGAGCTGGGAGTAACAGCTTTCCTCCTGACAGGCTCAGGTGATAGGGCAGAAGACACAGCACAGTGAACTACGTTAATTAAAACATTCCTGTTACTTCCTTGTATGAGGAACGTGTGAATCCTCTGCCTGGAAAATTATTGGTTAAACTGACAGGGATTGTTTTTGCAAATACTCTAGGGTAATAACTGTGTCTTAGCACAGAGAAGTAGAGTTCTGATTGTTAAAAAACCCCACAATTTGGAGATAGTCCATCAGAATTTTCTTTCACTGCACTCATTTTTATTTATTTTTCATTTTCTTACATTCCAATAGAGTCTTCTAGTTCAGGAAAGGAAAAGATGCTAATTTTCTAGGATTATTCCAAATGTCACAGTGAAAAAAGAAACATGAGAGAAAAAGGGGATTTTCCCTAGAGGGCCTTAAAAATCCCATCCCTTAGCAGGAAAGGGGATTTTATTTCACTTTTTCTTCCTAAGATATCTGGCCTTGAACTATATCTATTCACCACCAGATTCAAGGAGCAACATCGTTTAGAAATAAAGTTTCCTAATAGGGAGGCTATAGCAAAAAAAAAAAAAAAAAAAATTGCAGGAGCTCATTTAGCAGTTCTGGATTTTCCAGGAGACTCTATTAACTGAGGCACCGTCTCATTATCAGAGCGCAGGGACACACACTGGATCAAGATTTGTATCGTGCAATGCATGCCAAAGACAAACCATGTTGCGAAGCACTGAAACAAATAACTCCACCCACAGAAATACTGATAATGATAAGAGGAAACTACAAAACATAGTCTACCTCATTAATCCTTCAACTCTCCTCCTTAGTTTTTACTACAGACAGTTCTACTGGTTTTGGGTCAGATTTAGGGAAGATTTGATTCTGGACTTTTTCAGGCACAAGAGGATTCCCAATCTACTTCAGAAAGGGAGAAAAAAAAAAAAAACCCCAGAGTTGATAACTATTGATTCGTAGATCATCAAACTTATTATATCTGATCTGGAAGAGCCACTGTTGGTTCTGTGATTACATACAAGGTGATTTATTTGGTTCAAATATTTGCGCAGCTATTTAGCTGCCAGCAATGGCTGGGTGGCTGAGATCTCCATAGCAGTGGTCAGCATTGCGAGGCTCGCATGGAGCTAACAGTCTTAGTCTTCAGATATCAGTATCTGAAGTGTGAAGCATCAGGATATTCTGCCCCTAAATAACTCTAATTGTGGGTTACTGCTCTGGAATTCTTATTTTACAACTATACCAAACTGAAAATATACATCAGAGTAATCTGAGATATTCTGTATAATGGAAATATTCTTTCATGTATCTCTTCATGAATTTTCTTCCCCCCGCCCTTTATTTTAAATGGCAGCACTCTTCTGGGTTCATAGCGGACGAGACAGCTGTGAGAAGAGGGAGCTTTGAGCACAGCAACCTGGGGAGGCGTTGATTTCAGACCCTGAAATGAGGAAAACCCTTTTATCCAAGTCTGACTCAAATGCAGTTCACAATGGCTAAAATCCATTAAACCCTTCTTTTTCAAACCTGAACTCCATGTTCTAGGTTAAATAAAATCCAGACCTGAATGTAATTCCTTGGCCTTCCTGAACATTACACTGAAAGAGCACTTACATTTATATTACATTTCATCAAAAGGAAGCAAAGCACTTTAGAAAGTACGTAACTCTCCTAGTGAAGGTGACGCAGCCAAGTCTTGAGATTTTTTTTTCTCTGCATTCTAATTATAGATGCTTTTATTTACTAAAGTTACATATAAGACTTGTCTATTACAAGCCTCTGAAATCTCATTTTGCTAAAATGAAAACATATTTCAAATGCTTTGGAGAACTATTAAGATTACTGAACGTTTAGCATACTGCTTCAGGTCTCCCAGTGGTTCACCAGACCCCCAGGGAACAGGCAAGCAGCATACAATTACCACAGTAATTAAAAAGGTGCAATGATTCTTCTCTTAAAGACTCCTGTTTTATTAATTCTATGGCATGCTTTGGAGACTGCCATTATTTTACTCCTACCCAGCTTAATTATACCACCATCAGTTTATCAGCATCTCTTTTTAACCCTTGGGCCAGTTATTAGCATGTCACTTGCTAACAGTTAACCAATAACCACTACACCTTCAAAGCAGTATCTTCAGCTATAAAAAATCCAATTTGTAGAGATAGACTTAATATCATAATTAAATTTAAATTTTTCAGTCAGCCATCACTTTCTGATTTTAATTTAAGAGGGTTATTGTTTAGCCTAATGAAAACATAAATAATGCTGATGTATTACAAGACGTTACCAGGTAATAAAATAGTTCTAGGACACAGTAGTTTATGAGACTGAATGCATGTTTTTGTACTCAACAGTATGTACTGCTGAGAAGACCACAAAGCGTGTGATGTTCTTAAATATAACTTAACGCTCTGAATTTCTCTGTACTGTGTCTGTCTGTGATGGAGTTAATTTTCTTCAAAGCAGCCTGTATGGTGCTGTGTTTTGGATTTGTGACTAAAACAAGGTTGGTAACACACCACTGTTTTGACCCTTGCTGAGCAGTGCTTGCAGTTTCAAGGCTTTCTCTTTTTCCCAACCTTCCCCTCCAGCGAGTAGACTGGAGTTGGCCAAGAGGCTGGGAGGGGACATAGCAGAGACAGCTGACCCCACCTGACCAAAGAGATATCCCACGTGTCATGGTCAGCAATCAAAGCTCAAGGAAATGAAGAGGAAGGGGGGATGTTCATGGTCATGGTGTTTGTCTTCTCAAGTAACCATTATATATGCTGAGATCATGCTTCCCAGGAAGGGGCTAAACATCTGCCTGCTGATGGGAAACAGTGAATAAATTTCTTATTTCATTTTGCTGGGGAGGGCAGCTTTTCTTCACCTATTAAACTGTTCTCACCTCAATCTATGCATCTTCTTGCTTTCCTTCTATTTTGTCCCTGGGCCACAGCAGAGGTGAGCGAGTGGCTGTGTGGGCATTTGCTTGCTGGCTGGTATCAACCCTACACACTCTCTAACCCTTCAGAACAGACACTCTCGCGCAGCACCCAGTGTTACATTATCTAATCATATAAGCAGATGATGAAACTATGAGAAAAACTGGTTTATTTTTACAATAACTGAAGTACTTGTGTATTAAATACATACTTACCTTGTCTAGACAGATAATTTTACATTCTTATGAAAGGCACAGTGACCCAGAAACCCTCCTGAAAGGAACTCTAATTAATGCCTCACTTTTGACTAAGCTGAAGTTCTGTTAGTCTAGTAAAGAAAATCTTATAAATGCTAAATATTTAACTATTATAATTTAATTGTACTGCTTTTTGGTGTTTTTCATTAAATACTTCTCTCCAGTAATGAGAGGAATAAAAAACTCAGAATATCAAAGAGTTAGTACTTGCATAAGCTTGCATCTTTAAAACTTAACACTGGGATTCTGACAGCAACTCTGTTTCATTTTATGTTTGACATCACACCAATCAGTTCAACTGAAATGCCATTATGCCATTTAGCCACTGGACAGGTGGCCAGGTGACTTTACAAAAAGTAACTTTACTTTCATGTGCAACGGAAAGTCATCATTATTTCTGTTTAAGTATGTAGTTTTTCCTGTTGAAAAGACAAATAACACCAAGACATTCTTTAAAAGATTAGGATTAATGAACTAAAACCATTTGCTTAGTCCCATTTCCTCTAGGGACACTTCTGCCTATCTTCCACAAACTTTACAGCAGCAGAAAGAAGATTCAAAATATTGGGAGAAAATACTAATGACAAAAAAACAATTCAGGTCACAGCATACTCTATTATTTTCTGAGCAGCTGAATCCCAAATTAATAGCAGTGCCACTCTTCCTGAAAATTACTGTACAATCGCTTTTGTATAATAGGTCTAATTTGTATCTTTTTACAGTCAGAGGTCAGCACTATTAATTATAACATCCAAAACAGGAGCCAAGACTGCTACACAGCACCACAAATCACATTATCTCATTTAATGAAAAGACATGCTATCAGTCACTCAAGAAAGCAGTCCTTTGCTAAACCTCATCTGCTAATTGTGACTCAACAGTGCATACTTTTGCTGTTACACAGGATCTTTTTCCACTTTATCTACAAGTTTGACGTACCTGACACTGGAACAAAGGACAAAAGAAACTTTATCCAAAACAAACAAAATTTTTATCAAGCTTGGGAACCCAAAAATATATTGGCAAGAGAGGAGGTGTAATGAAATAGAGAGAGTTCAGTGCATATATGACAGTAAGAATTGTTTATTTATCCAGCATCTACACTGACCACTTTGAGGCATGCACAGGCATGATTTAATGTACAATGTACAGTGGCTCTGAAGGTTGGTTTCAAGGTCATTGTAGCTGACAAATGCTAATAGCTTATAGTTAAAAACATTCAGTCTTGGTTCCTGCAGCCTGCTGGTTTAAAGTAGACAGTAAAAAGTGCCAGTGAAACAACGTACGTTTTCAACCCTAAAAAGATGCTTGCAATTTTCTAATCACTTTTGAGTACTCACCAGCACATTTTGTTCTTGTTTTGAGAGCTGGGCCAGGAGATCCAGTTCCTCCTTCACCTGGTCTTGTAAGTAATACACTGATTTCATATTCTGTGTCAGGATCCAGGTGCCCAATCTTGTAGCTTGTGGAGTCCACAGGTTGTATGTCATACCAGCTTCCACTTGAAGTTCGATACTCAACTTCCCTTTGAATAATGGGTCCATCCCCATTGATAGAATTGGCATTCAACTGTATCCACAGGTAAGTTGCGCCAACTGAGGACAGCTGAGGCGGAGCAATGGGAACGGGTGGCTCTGAAGCACAATAAGATACAAAAAGCAGCCATGATTACACTGGCATATTTTTTGCTTCTAAAACATTCAGATAAACAATGGGTTTTATACTATATTAGAACTGAAGATTGCATAAAAATATAGATATGAAGAAATAATCACTACAGACTAACTTATTCCCAATAAACTGCAATATGCAAACTTTTGCTTTTGCACTTGGAGATTTTAACATGAAGCTTTTGTTTTATACCAGATAACTTCAAACCAGGTGCAACTACAACTCTATTTGCTAGCCTTTTAACTTCCAATTTAAAAAGAAATATGATCTCAGGTTTTCTTATCAAAATACAGTTCTTACTGAATGTAAATATAAATCCTACTTGAAACTAACATTTTTAAGCTAAAATTGATATTGTACTCTACTCTTAGACATAGCCAGAACAGTGATTTCTGCATGAAAACAAAGCAAATTTTTTATTCATTATTTCTCACAGACTGTACCACTCCGCTTTCGGACTTTCAGACTTCTATGTAAGTATAATAAATACAGTATTTTTTTTCAAGTCCTACAACCTGGTTAAACAGAAAGAGCTTCTAAATGAGAGCTGGGGGAATTCCCGAGTCTTTACTACAACTCTGACTCTACTTCGTGTAATGGCTTGTTTTCATTAACTACTGGACAGAAGCAGTACTCTGTCTCACGGAGAAAGCACATGTGTGATCTGCTGATAGTCTGCATTCTAAAAATTTAAAGTGAGCAAAATTTTAAAACCACTTCTATTAATTACATGACGGACAACACATTTTAAACTAGTCTGCAGAAATAATTTGCAGACATCACGTCTTTTTAAAGGTAAATAACAAATTAATCTTTTTCCTATTGATTAACCAGGAAATTACTCTGCTGTTTCATGTATCATATCTGCATAAAAATCACCTTCCTGTTGGTTAAATATATTCATGAAGAATGAAACCATAATAAGGCACTGTTTGATCCAATATTCTTAACATACCTATCAACAAACACTGTCACTTTCTTAAGGCTACACAGAATACGTAATGAATGTAGAACATCCATCTTCCCTAAGCTGTAGATTCAGATTTATCCTCTTCTTCTAACCATTTCCCAACGTGTTGAGATACAGGTAGTCAAACAGAAAAGAGGGTGAATTTATATATTTCATAATTTCCTCCAAGGACTTCAAAGTCAGAGTTAAAGCAAAGAACATAAAAGAATGAAGCACAAGGGAGAAAGGAACTATGAAAATAAGTATGAATATTTCCTGAGAAAAGCTATTTTAACAAACATGTAATTATTCTACTTCATGCTACCTTTTTTTATTTAGAGGAAGAGCACGCAACTCACAGAACACTAAGTACACTGAAGGTTAGCTATGCCTCAGATAGTGTTTCTAATTAGCACTGTACACTTGTACACAAGCTTCAATCTGTGTAATCTGTTAGTAATTGCTGAAATATGACATCACAAACCAGAAAACGTAGGCATTAGCATTATGTGTTTTCATCTTAACAAAACTAATTGTTTACTATCATGAAGAACATGATACAGTGGGCAACACTCCAGAATGTCTCAGAAGTTGTCTACTAATTATTACTGATTGCAATAGACATAAAAGCTTAGTATATTGTGCTAGGCTCCAATACTTAAAGAAAAGAATATTGTTTACATTTTCAAATCACTAGGGAAAACACTGTTATATGTCAGTAGCAATACACGGCAAACTGTGTCATCTTTCAGTTAGACACATACTGCAGTTTTATTGAAATTACTGCTCCTGAAGCATTTAAACTATGGCTTCATACAGCGATAGCATGTCTGGAAACAGTTCTGACTTGACTCAAAATGATTTAGCATCAGTTTAAATCATTAGGCTGTTTTGTGAACCACGACATGAAATGGAACTTTTATAGAGCATCCTAAGGCATTTACTTAGCCATGCTGAAAGAACAGTTAATTACTTTCAAGTTTCAAATGCTACTAAAGCCTGTTGAAGTGCCATTCAAAATGCAAACTCAGGAGTTAGGTCACTAAGGTTAGTGGTTACACCAATTCATTCCACGTATTACAAGTACTTGAAACAGACAGTATTTTATTGTCTTTTTATCCCTCAGGGCATATTTTTCATTCCATTGTGACCTAAGTGCAAAAGGTTAATGCCACCTACATGACTTCAACAAAGCCTGCATAGACTGCAGTTTAGTACTAGCGTAGTTTAATACTAAAAGTGGTCTTTTTACCAGAAACTGAGGTTACATTAAAATGAACTTTTCATTACAAATATGATGCTCATTATTAAGTGACTGGTTAAATACATGAGACCCAGAGTTAAGCAAACACTTCAGTACAAATGGTGTACTGCCAAATATAATGCACTGATTTCATGACTAAAGTACGAGAGTTGTTCTTCTTATTCATTTATTCCTTCTCTAGGAAGAATGATTCATTTCTTTTAGGATACTGAGGAGTCTGAATCACTTTATCACGTTAAGTACCAGACTGCAGCACCACCCTCTTTCACTAAAGGCAGTTTTTCTGGTGGCTACTGGGGTAGTCTCAAATAAATACCAGGCAAACTATTTTCCAATCAATACCTTTATGAAAATGGTACAATAGACCTGTGATTTTGAAGCTGTGTACATTCAAGGAAGGCATTTAGGTGACTGCCAAAATGAGTTTGTAGCAGTGGCTATTTAGTACGATGGTTTAGCTTAAAGAAGAGTTCTTCCTTGCAGATGTCTCTTGAAACAGAAGGAAACAAAGCTACTCAGTACTGTGAAACCCTTTAAAGATAGGCATTTAAAGTAGAATATTAACTCAAGAAGGTAAGTTTATCCCTAACTTCAAATTTAATGCTTTTAGACTTTGGACAGACCTCTTCTTGAATTTTGTAACAAATGGCAATGGACATAATCCTTGATGGAAAGAAAATAGTGGCCACCTTACAAAACAGAGCTCTGCAGATGACAGAAAGCTTTAGGCAGATGCTCTAGTGTCACTTTACATAAAATGGACTGTTTACAGTAAATGCAAGAAATAAAAGCCTTTATGATAAGGAGCAGCCCTTCTCTTATGCAGAGGATAAAAACAAATTTAGCTGTAGGTGCATATAAATTACTTATTCTTATGCACTACTATATTAATTGGAAACATACTTGAAATGGCAACTCCTTTATTTACCCTGCTTTGTGCTTTAAATTATACAGAATTTCAAAATATTTTCTACAAGATCATAACACCTTTATGTTTTGCAGTTCTTTTAAAATGTTAATAGGGAGAGGAAAGGCATCACACAGAGATACCAGTAGAGATAAGGTAAATCTCTGAGATTTAAGTAAATTATAGAACACAAAAAATAGACATTTCTTCCCTGTGGCTCAGAACAGCTAACCCGAAAAATGAAAAAAATCTACTTCAATAGGAACAAAAACATTTTTCAGTTTTTGTTTTGAGATGAGAGAGTGGGAGAATGGAGCCATGGAACAGGGAAGAAACATTTATCCTGCAAGCTATTTTTTTTTTTTTAATTAAATAGTAACTGTTAAAAAGACAATGCCACCATATTCCCACGTGACATTGTTCAACACGAGTAGGTGAACTGATAAAAATAAGGTATCAACCATCTCTGATGCTATGTCCACATTAATAATGTTTTTATTATTATAAAACTAATCAAATCATTCTAATTTTACAGTCTTGAAATCAACTAAACAGCTTTAAGAACTTTTTTCTTCCATTTTACTTTGTCTTTTTAATATATATATATGTTTATATATATATGTATTATGGTGCTCCGCTTTTGAGACTGCAAACGACTCCATCCTTTTGGAAACAATGGAAAGTAATGCCATTTTGCAGCATTTAATTGTGGATGAAGGACTATAAATACCCCCACTGATAACAAAAGACACGGTAATGATTTTGAAAAACCACAGTTCTCCATGCAGCATTTTTTTAAAAGTCTTTAAATAAGTCTTGTTAAAACATTTAATTAAACAATACTTCTAAACAGTATAATGCATAACACATGAGCTAATTTTACACTATCTCTTTACTGAGACTGTTCAGGATGAAAAATTGACCTGACCCAGTATCCTAATGTTCTTAAAATTACTTGTTAATTCACCATTTAAGAAAATGCAATTGTTGAATTTCATACATATTTTGAAACTTTACAGAAAAACAAGTGTCCTTGTACTATACAGTGATAAGCCTATGCAGATACAATCTAATTAGTTGGTCATTAGTAGATACCCTGCTAAACCCTGGAGTAGCGGTACCATTACACCCATCCCTAACTAGGCACAAACTGTTCCCCTCCCCAAACACGACTTCTTCCAAACCCAATTGCTCTGACTTGCCCACTCCTGACTCGCCAACTCTTTAAGACAGTGGTGCCTCAGCCTGCGCTGCTCTCCCTCCATCCTCATCTGCTCACCTGAGTGGTCTAAACCTATCTACCCTTCCCACTCTCAGCTTTGCTCAGTTCCATTTTCTCTGTATACTACAGCCACCATTGTCATATTACAAACACCACTAAATTCTCACCTCAGATTTGTTTTTTGTTACCCCAGGCTGTACCTACAAGCTCTGTACCTGCTCCTCTACCTGCCTTCCAGTCTGCCCACTGTTCCAGCTATGCTTCTCCCTAGCATCTGCTTTTCCTCTGCCCTCCTGCACTGGACAGCTCCCCTTTCCAGACAGTTCCCTTTTACACTGCCCTCAGTCCCCATCCTCATCCCCTACGTACATATATACGTATATAAGCACACACGTAATCTTGCACATTCATGTCTGTATATGTTTATCTTCCACCCTTTGTTATCCTTCTCCTTCATGTAGTCACACTTTTCATCTACCTCCCCCCTCATTTCAAAACACCTCCCAGTTTGCCATTCTTCCCAGCCCCAACACTAACAACCTCACCCGATTATGTAGCTTCTTGCTCTTGCACCCTTTGCTATCCCCATCACGCATCTCACTATTTCACCCTCACAACACAAGGGCTCAGCGAGGTGGTGGGCTGTATACTAAAAGCACAGGAATGGTAAGCTCTCAGCTTTTCATTCCTGTGCCTGGTTCCAGCCTGTCCCAGAGGAGCTCAGATCAGTGCTTGCATTTAAATTCCTTTCACTGTAACTAGAATCTGGGGGGAATTTAAGAGTTTAACTCAGGGAAGTCTCCATTGTACATATCAGGATGGCTTTTTTTGATGGGAGCTCTTTAGTAGCTTGTAAATTGACTGTACTCAAAAACAGATTTTTACAGGAACATAAAAACCAGAAGGATTCTTGACACAACCATCACCCTCCTGAAAAAACAGCTCCTGCTTCAAAGCTTAGAGTCTTAAGCACTTTCCTATGCAAAGTCTGCAAAGATGGCTGAACTATCTTAACTATTTTGGCTGGAGGTTTTCTCAAAACCTTCAGGCTGAGGCACATGCTCACACTGGAAAATATCAGCATGAAGTCAGTTTGCCAAAATATGAGCACCTGAAAGTAGGACATCATGGCAGGAATTGTCAGGCAACCATAAAAATAAGTCCTAATACCACCACTGTTTGTAAAAAAGGGTACAGACAGCCTCATGGATTCAGCATGAAAGGCTAGCTGTCTGAGAGAGAAAACAGGCGTTAAGTACCTCATATTTAATGTATGAGAACAATTGATACAAGAGATAAGCAATCTTTAATATTTTCTTATTCTGTCTTGATCTCAAAATGATTTTGCCAGCCAGCATAAATTCTTTGCTCTAGACATCCAGAAGAGGTTTGGTTCTGTTCCTGGTGTTAAATCTTCTATTCAGAAAGATGCAGACACTTAAGCTGCTAGAATTACATACGGTTACCTTTCTATGCCCTCACTTAAAAACCTAAGAAAATTCCTTTTAAACAATCTGACATCTAGGTTTACCTTATTTGAACTCAATAAGCAGTCTGAACTCTGTAATAATCTGATGTCTGCTCAGACAGGCTCATTCTGCTCTCCTAAATCTAATCTGTGTTGGATCTGCCCACTATTAGAAAAATTTAACCTAGGGGCTGTATGTAGAAGTCTAATTTACCTCACCAAATACATTTAATCAGTTCCACTCTATTATTTTCCTTTTGCTCAATGTTTGATTACTTTTATGTCACCTATTAGATATCAACTGCTGTTTTTTACAATAAGTGGGTGATCTGACAAGGCCAATTTGTATCTCCCATTAGATAAAGTGACATTTCAATCCAATTCTCTGACAAACTTAGATGAGGACATTGTGTAGTTTGAGCACACCAAATGACAAAGCACTTGTCTTTTCAGCCTTTCCTATCAGAACAAACACTCGGGTAAATTGAAAACCTCCCCTTCAGGATTTATTTAAATAGAGCAATCAATACTTTATTTCACCATCTTCTAAAAGGCACAGAAGATAACACAAAAAACTTTTTAAAAAAACCCCTCTTTTTTTTTTTCTTTTTGTTTAAGGCCAGACTAATTGTTCACTGACAGGCTTTTTGCTCATTCAGCAGACAATATTCATGTTTATAGTTCTTTAATAAGATAACATGGGATTAACTGACAGCTCTTTAATTGCCCCCCCTTTTTTTTTTATTCCTCCATGCAGATTAAACCTTGCTATAGCTGTATCTGCTCAGGTAAAAAAAAATAAATCAATAAATAAAAAAAAAATTAAAAAGAAATTAAAAAGAAAAAAAAGAACATTTGGCAGTTCTTTATACGTCTCTTGTGTTCAAGGTTTGATTCCTATCCCTTTGTGATTTCAGGTTTGGTTTGCAGCACCTGACACTAGTGGCCTTTCCACTGATTTAAAAAGTTCTGGTACCTGGTCTCCAGTGCCACACATCACTCCACAGCAGCACTACAAACCTTCAAGAGGTTTACATAAGAAAGTAACTGGAATCTACTTAGAGTAAGTTCCTATTTTGTAAAACTTTATCTACAGTGAGGTAGATCGTACAGAGTTGTAACCCATTCTACTGTGCAAATGTCCCTACTTTAAAGTAGAGATATTTTGAAAAAATCCCAACTGCAGCGCAGGATTTATTTATTTGCAGCTTGAGTTAGAAGTTCAGTAACCAGAATAAAACACAGTGCAATAAATGCGAATAACTCATTCTCCAACTTACAAATGCTAGGTTTGACTCTCCTGCCATCCTAGCTATGTAAGTCCTGGGAAATTCCTCTTAAATCAGCTTAGTTACACCAGTGTAAATGAGAAGAGAATTACATTTATTGTTTCCAACAAAGAGCTAGGAGTAATTACACCACTGCTTTTAAACATACTATTATTAACCCATCAGTAATTCCCACGTATACTAAGCATTACATGCAATACGGATACATATACATTTTTCATGATTTATCAATAGTAATGGATTAAAAAAGATACAGCTGCACTGAAATCAATCCATTATCTTTCAATTCTGCTAACCAACATTGCAGAAAAGCGGCTGAAAAAAATAGGAAAGAAAATTTCTTAATTATACGCCATCAATAAGAAAGCATATTTACTAATTAGCCCCTGATGCTGCTATTTCAGCATAGTCATCTAAGGTTTTACAGCACAATGTTTAAAATGGGTCTTTTTAGGTCAGAAGGAATGACCTGCAGGTCGTCTCATAAAAGCTCCAATACAGGCAATGGGGATTACCATAATTACTTTGCCACTCTACAAGTAGTTAATGGGATTACACCCAAAGGCTATACACTTGTTCACAGTGCCCACTGCAATTTTTCTGAAAGAATCTGGGTAAGCACAAATGCTTTAATGATATGCTTCATAATTTCATCTACTGCACCGCAAAAGGAGCGCTAATAAATTAAAACACCCTAAATCAAAAAAAAATTGAAAAAAATCTAACTACTTCGGCTTTCTGTATCTCCTGTCACTAATACACTCAATCTTCCACCTGCCTCCTTCATGCAGTCTCCATTCTTCCTTGTTTCCACTGATGTTAGGTCTGAAAGATGCTTCATCATTCTTGTTGGGGTTCATACTCACCCTTTCTTGCTCTCTTTGATGACTTCTATACATTTTTGGCCACTGCTTTTATTTATTTTTCATGCTATCTTTGCTTGGACTGAAATAACCTCGTTTTTTTTTCACCATGCCTTATAATTACATTCTCATCTCACCTTCTCTATTTGTTTCTTTCTTCATCTGTCCCTTAAAATAGCTCATCTAAATTTACATATTACAATTTGTCTTGTCATGTTATCTTCATACACCAGTTATTTGCCATCTCCTCCTCATCCTGTCCTGCTTCTCTCCATTTTCTCTAAAACACATCCACTTTGCTTTTTTAATGTCTTTTCTTTATTTACGCCACTGTGCCTCCTGTCCTTCGAAGCCCTCCTTTACTGCTAGATTTTCAAACCCATGCTTTCTATACTGACTTCAGAAACAAGATCCATGCTACATTTTCAGATGTAAGAGTTATCCCACATTCCCTACATATAAGTTGCCTTTAAAAAAAGGACCACATCTTTTAAAAGTCCTGACAAATCCCATATTGGTTTTTAAATGTACAAAACAATTCAAGAGTTAGGACAAAGAAAAGAGCAAATAATGACAAAGCCCCTTATCTAGTCTGCTGTCTGCAACCAGAACTGTGCAAGCTCTTATACTGCAATAGGCATTGATTTTTTAATTAGATGACTAAGCCATAAGAAATGTTAATTTGTATCTTAACCCAAAAGATAAAACCTAGGTCAGAATTTGGAAGGCAGAGTGACAAGAAGGTACTACACAAAAATTAATTTCTTGCTCCTGTTACTCCTCAGCCTATAAATTTCTTTAATTCTACTAGAACAGCTATAATGATATCATCTATGATAATCTGTATGCTATCCCCAAAGAAAAAAAGTCCCATCCAACGAAGAATATTGTTTCTAAGATCAGAGGATGCATAACAGACACAAGTGTGTCCTTTCTAATTCATAGAGGAAAATTCCACACCTGTGGTGGCTTTACTTTTAGGGCACTCATTCACTCCTTGCCAACTTGGATCAAATTGTCTTCAGAAAGAAGAGAAAAAGAGCTTTTAGCCCTTCATCTCACTTGCTTTGTTAGGCACAGAATGGACCAGAAAGGGAACACACATAACACAGTAATGTGGCTCCATAGCTTAGGTACTACCGAATCTGGTTTTGTCTCTGAAAGAACAAAATGAAAATTTTGTTCCTCCAAAACACTACTATAAAAGTAAGAAGCAATCAAATTGCAATTGAAATATAATGAATGTTAAACAATGGTTTTGGTCCAGTTTTCTATAATAAGGATGGACATACCTGTATGCATTCTATTTACATTTAAGTGTTTCCTGCTGTTTTTAAACACATCCCTCCATATGTTGGAATATGTGTATTTTATATGTTATTTTTAATGTAAATGTTTCCTACTTTGCAGTAAATATATATTCAGAATGCAACCTCCATAAAGAAGGTAAATAGACAGTATTATGTTCAGACCTTAAAAAAAAAAAATCTCGTAAATACACTTTCAAATAAACATAGTTCTAAACAGCGTACTCTGGGGAATTATTTAAAGCAATAATCACCAAGTAACTAGTTAATTAGCCCTGGCTTCTTCTGTCATTCTCTTGTTACACCTGGATAGACTCTGAAGATTTTCATAAGCAGAGTCTATTTATTGAACCTCTTATTGACTTTAACAGGCTACAGGTGACATTCTTACTGAATAAGCAACTGCAGGTCCCTATTCCATACACTGAGCATACAAATACTGATTTTTTAATTGTGAAATACCTTTGACTATCAGTTCTGCATAGTTTGATACACCAACTCCTCCTTCTGTCCGAATCATGCAGCGATAGTTGCCAGCGTCCCGCTTCGTGGCATTTACCACACTAAAAAGAGCTACAAATCGTCGAAAGTTGAACACTTTTATGTCCTTCAGAGGTGCATCCCTTACATAAATACCCTAGGCAAAGAAACAGGAATAAAGAATATTGTTAGTCATATCTAAAAAAATACTGAAAACCAATTTTATTTCTCCCAAGTCCCCCAAGAGTGGAGGCAAGATAAAAGCAGAAGTCTGTACGTTACTTTTACAGATGTTTACGCTGTGTGAGACTTTACTGCTTTCCCATGTGAGTTAAACCATTCATCATCAGTGGGTGACCACTCATATGGAACAGTTGCTTTCAACTCTTTATAGATTAACTAATAGAAAGATTTAAGAGCAATGTAACATTTACTTGCCTGGCTTGCTTTACACAAATATTTAAAGTTATTTCTTTTAAAGAAACATGAACCCCTGAAACCAGCATACTTAGTCTCCGCTTTTTCTTCCCCTCCGCATCTGCTACTCAGCATATGCATCCTGCACAGCCTGCACGGAAATGTCAGTGGATGGTTCTCACACGGCAGCACCCATGCCCAGGGTTATCGGTGACTTAGGTGGAAGAGAATGGGCACAGATTTACGAGGCAAATACCAACATGGCTGAAGTTGTCTCCATCTCCCACTTCCTCAGCATAGTACTGGGAACTGGGCAGTTTCTACCGTCAGTGCAGCATCTCACCCTCGATTCAACATATTTCATGCATGGCACAAGAACACGAGCTATGTAACAGCTGAGGAGCACAAGGCCTAGCGTAAGTCCCATGCTACCAGCCTGCTCCTTCATGTGACCCGGTGCATGGCTGGAGGAGGAAAAAAGAGAAGGTAGCAGACAGAAGAAAGAGAAGAAAAAAGAGAAGGTAGCAGACAGAAGAGGGCAGAGATGACATCTTGCCATGTCCTCTGACACAAAGATGAGGGCAGAGAGACTTGGCTCTCAGATCCGCGTCAGAACTTGTGCTCTAGCTGCCCATGGAATAGGACACATGCACTATGAACACTCAAAAACCCTCAGAAAACTTAAAATCATCAAATTACTAGAGCTGGCTGAAAAAAAAAAATATACAAAATCTAGTGATAACGTTTACTCAAACAAGCAAACAAGAAAGATGCACTTTTCAGAGAAACATACGCATTTAACAAAGCGAAGGCTACGGCCATTATCAAAACATCGAGAGAAACTGGAGAACCCCAACAAGCACCTCCCAAAAAACGCTCACTCCAGGAAGGCACATGAACAGTCTGATGCTATGTAATGATACTGGTTATTTTTAGTAGGTTTTTCCGACTTCAGGAGTTCCAAGGAGGGCAAAGGTTCTGTACTCTTATAACCCATCAACACAGCTGGTGACATCTGTTTTTCTGCCCTGCAGTTTGTAGCTTGTCCAGCAGAACTGAAGACCTCTCTAGGAAATACTGACCTCAGTTTGTTATGGCCTTTACTTGCCACTATATTGAAAGAACACTTAAAACACGAGTTATAACTGGAGAGTTTCAAGTACCAGCCACATAAAATTAAACTCATCCATAAATCACAAAACCAAGCCAAAGTTAATAATGCCATTAATGCCAAAGCAGCAGCATAATTAACAGTAAATACTGATTCTCATGCACAGCCAGGCAATTTCCTCTTCAAAAATAAACATGGGTGATGCACAACTTATTTAAAAGAAAAAAAATGCTTGTAAGATGCCCACAAATGAATGTACTATCATGCCTTAAAAATGACTCAGTTTTAAATTATTACTTGATAATTACTTCAGATAATTGCCAGCTCCTTAAAATTCCTAGAACTTTGAGCTGCTGATAAACCGGCTTCTCTGATGTGTCATGGCAGTAACAAAAAACAAAACTTGGAAACAAACAGTTCAAACTACTGTTTCCAAACTACTACTTTTACTAGCTTTGCCACTGCAATATCCCTCTAGCAAGAATGGCCGTAGATAGAAGGAAGCAAGCAGAGAAGGTTAATTATGATTTTGGAGAATGAAGAGTTCTTAAAAGCAACACTATTTTTTACCTAAGACAATAACTGATGAATCCTAATTATCAGAGCTGCTGACCAGTCAAAAACCAAATGGTTTTAAAGTGTGTTTCTATAGCTTTCAGACCCTTTAAGGACTGTGCATAGCCAAGTCATGTGCTTCCATTACACCCACCCACGCTCATTTTTCCTTTTTTCTAGTTGCAACATCAGGAAGCTTTACACAGGCTATTTTATCCTGCCAATAAATAGGGTAGGTTATTCTCTAGGGAACAGCATGTCGCCACACACTGATGAATTCTAGTACCTAAACTAGCTCAGCTCCTTTAGACTGTGAACAAGTCTCTCCGCGCTCCAGCCTGCACGGTGCACCCACTCTTCACGCAGGGCACCTGCATCCAGAATTTACCAGGGCTCTCATGAGTTATAACACAACTGAAGAACCCTGTAAATACTTTAAGAATTATTTCTGGTTGTCCCCAGCCAACCAAAGGCTACAGGACAGTGTTAAAGGGAGAAAGAGGTGAAGGGAAAGGACTAGGCAATGCCACAAGGCAGTGTAATTTCTGCATTAATCTGCAGCCCATGAAGAGAGAAGACCATGGAAAAGTATGACGCACACACACTCCCTGCTGGCCCCATACAGAGGACTGTCTCCTAAAACGACAGCCCTCTCAGACCTCCCAATGGCCAGCACAAATCCTGAACAGCACAGCCTGGGTTGTCATATAAGTTGCCAGCAGTCCACAAAGGGAACTGCTCAAATACCCGGACCCATAGGACATATTTCCCACCTGTTTCTGTGCACATGTAGAATGAAAACTGGAACTGATCAATGCATTGCAGCATTTATAATAAATTATTATTTCACTGGGGTCCCATAATCTTTTTCACCTTCTGCTTATCCTCAAACACACTTATCTCACCTGATTTCAAATGTGTTAACTGCTGTTCTACAACAGGAAATCTTTGTTTGATCAAAGAATCGACTATATAGCCATGCTTCATGTGCCATCTATTCACATGTCAATGATTTCAACTGAAAAAGAGAGATACTGAGGTGCATTACAGAGGCACACATCATTTTGCTCAAATGAACAAGCTACTTGAGCCTTAAATGTAACTCAGCTTGGCTCTACAGAGGATTTGAGCCTTTTTGCCCCCCACCGAAATCCAGATGTGAAACAGGTTATTAATGGTGCCTTCAAAATTCATGAAAGAGCTCCAGAATAAAAAAGCCTTTACTATTATTATTATTATAACACACCTGTAATATGTATGTGAGATTATTATTAATAAAGATTATCTTGACTGACTTCTCTTAAACATTATAAACTCACAGAGGCAAAGTGTGGAGTGTCTAATTATATGTTAGAACTCAAACAGTCCCACTGAAATCACTGGTATGACATTTCCTACTCAAAGGAGAAAAAAAAAACAGATTTTTTTCTTTAGTCTTTTTGGGAAAAATATTTTCAAGGAAAACACAGTGTCTGGAACAGACAAAGGCTAAGAAACATAATTGCTTTACTTTCCACAAGAAAAAATACAGCTCAAGAGAGCAAGTCTTCTCTTCTGGGACAACAGCAAATGAGTAGGAGAGCCATCTAATTGATTTAAGCCTGAGCATAAAGGAATGGTAATGGAGGTAATGAATTCAAGTATAAGAGAAGTTCAATCCACAGGCATTGGAGAAGAGAGTTAAAAAAAAGAAAAAGACTGCACAGTAAAAAGAAAAAGAACAAAAAAAACCAACTAAAAAAACCCCCAACCAAAAGACCTCAAACAACCCATACCTACCACCTCTCACAAACACTTATTTCAGCAACGAACAAATAGCAAAAGACTATTTTTAGTCTGAAAAAAATTCTATTTATAATTTGATATATGAATACAGAATGGCTTCTGCTTTAAGTGTACCCACATGACTAGCTTCCCTCCCGTTATTTGTGATTCACTTTTTATTCTCTCTGAGTTACCACACAGTGTCTTCGGGAAGCTGCACAGGTATGAAAGTGGTCACTTTTATGGGTTAGTTAACTATCCGAAGTTTGGCGGACGACATTAGTGATATTTTCTTTCCACATTTAACAGGCCCTTTTAAGCACCTTGTACGATAAAACACAAGCTCTCCAGAGCCAACTGGCAAAAACTATTTGCTTGTTTCTTTGTTTGTTTGTTCTAAATGCAATTCAAAGATAAAGATAGTTTTTTTCACTGTTTTACTTTAGCCCTAGTTTGCCACATGAAAGACCGAGGCTTTAGTAGAGATTAAGTTTGCTAGCTCTTTCTGCCTCTGGGACTCAGAGAACTGTGTGAACAGGACACTTCATTCTTTGGAAAGAGGAAACTGCCGAAATCATTTAATGCTAGACCTGCTTGGACTACAAAGGCCATGTCCCCAGGGCAGAGCTATCTAACATTCTTAAAGCAGAAGAATTTTGACCACGAAACAAAGATTGCAAGATGCTGAAATCCAAAAAAGAAATAACAGGTTCCACTGGCTGCTGAGGAACCGATACATTTTCAAATGCTGAAGAGAAAGCTTTAAAAATAAGAAAAAATGCTGTTTAAGCCAACTAGTGAAAATTTATGCCTGGTACCTCACTTGTAAGAATATATTTTCTATTAAACGACGTGTCATTTCATATGCTTTAAAATAAGAAAAAATGCTATTTAAGCCAACTAATGAAAATTTATGCCTGGTACCTCACTTGTAAGAATATATTTTCTATTAAACGACGTGTCATTTAATATATAGGAATACTAAAAAAAAAAAAATCTTAATTTAACCTCAGGATATATACAGCTTCATATATAGGAATACTAAAAAAAAAAAAAAAACTTAATTTAACCTCAGGATATATACAGCTTGAAAATCCATATTCCTAGTACCAGCATATAAAATGCATACAGAGACAGCTTTAAACACTTTAAAATGCACATTATTTTTCCATTTTAGGCAAGCTAAAATGAAAAGAAATAGGTTGATGGTTATTTAAATTAGACTTACAGTCTCTTTTAGGCAATGAACTAACTCTAAGTCTTCCAAATGAACAGCAATTTATCAGCAACAAAATACATACTAAATCTTTCTGAAATACTTTTAACAAAAACGCAGCAGTAATTCAAAGGGACTGAAGTTCTGGGATGTTATACCCAGCACTACCACTGCATTAATCGCTCTCAAGGCATAATTCAACAATTTTGCCAGAAGAAACTTAAAAGGAAACATTTGTCAGTCATCCTCTGTTCATCCAGGTAGATTAAGCAGCTTTTCCTACATTTAATAAAAGAAAGGGTTTGCATTATCCTGCTCTCAAATATGCACATTTATAAAATTGTGATTATAGTCATACCAGTGGGATCTCAAATAACATCAGCAGTCCCAGAAGTAATTTTGTTTAAAGTATGTATAAAATCTAAATCAAATAGCAATTAGTACCTCAACAAAATTACTTCGCAGAGTTCATATCATTCTAATAATTAAGACAGTTGGCTTTACCTCTGAATTTCTAGAGTTGCTTTCATAACCACATAAAATCTAAATCAAATAGCAATTAATACCTCAACAAAATTACTTTGCACAGTTCTTATCATTCTAATAATTAAGACAGTTGGTTTTACTTCTGAATTTCTAGAGTTGCTTTCATAACCAAGACAACTGTTTGTCAGTCTAGATTAGAACCACCACAGATCCTGTGATTATCCTGTATTTATTCCATCAGTGTAAGTTAACAAGTGTACTTCATTCAAGTAACGAGGCCATACTGGAAAAAGATCATTATCATCCTATTTGGAATTATTCTGCTATGAGCA